ACACACACACACACACACACACACACACACACACACACACACACACACACACACACACACACACACACACACACACACACACACACACACACACACACACGCACACACACACACACACACACACACACCACAAGCAAGTTTGCAGCAGGGTGGGGATGGCGTTAGAGATTCCGGGAGCACGTGTGAGCAATTGTTTCCGTTGCATGTCGCACAACAACAGAAGCAACACATACATCGACACGCACACATACACGATAACAATCACACATTCACAATCACACACAGTCACGCAATGTCGCCATGCAAGCACGTACGGAGGCATCGTGGGCGAGAAAGAGCGATGAATCCGGCCCAAATACATGCGCGAGGACGTGCAGGCAGTCGGGCGTCTCCGCAATCGCCGCCTGTGTAATACACACGAAAGATACGTGTGTGTGTGTGTGTGTGTGTGTGTGTGTGTGTGTGTGTGTGAGTGTGTGTGTGTGTGTGTGTGTGTGTGTGAGTGTGAGTGTGTGTGTGTGTGTAAGTGAGTGCATGTGTGTGCGTGTGTGTGTGTGTGCGTTAGTACATCACTGCAACCATGATCACACCCTCGCTTGTTCTTTCATCGTACGCGCTCTGTCTGTCCACCACATACGCACACACGCACACACTCACCAATCACTCCAATGCTTCCACTCTCACACTGCCTCTCGCTCTCACTGTCACACACACGCACACAGACAGACACACGCACACACACGCACGCACGAATACAGACAAACAAAACAACACGTACGAGGTGCGCGAGATTGCGCTGTGCGTTGTCGACCATGTTCGCATCCATGCCCAGGCTTAACAACTGCTCCAGGCACGTGGCAGCGCCGAGCATGCACGCCCAGTGCGCAGCTGCCACCCACCATTACAAATGACACCCAACACAACAAGCAACAGCCATAGTTGTTGAATACCTTCCCCGCGTATATTCCAAGCAAGACAATACGAGCACACGCCCTAGCAGCTTCGCACACACACACACACACCCATATCAACATGCGCAACGGCGCAGAGGCACTCTAAATGGCAAGTTGATGCATGGATACGTTCATCCCACATACAGACACACGACGCACACACACACACAACACACACAACACATTCTTGACACATGTACATCAGTGCCTGTACCTGCTCGCCCTGTAACGTCGACTGCCATGACGTCTGCACCGCAACTCTGGAGCCTGGTGGACCAAACAGCCAGCAACGGCGGAACACACCAGCGATGAGTGGCGTTGAAGACTACGCATACAAACACACTGGCGCGTGCACATAACACGCCGCTGGTCTACGTACATGGTGATGATGGACACTGCTTGTTCTGCTGGCGCTGCAACGGCATATGTGAGCGGGAACCGGCCATAGCCGTCCGGCAAATCAAGCACTGCGCCGATGGTCTCTGGTGTGTACTGCGCCAGCATGTTGTACACTTCCTCTGCCAGTCCTTCCGCTGCAACGCAGATGCGAGCGAACAAGTGACACAGAACGGAAAATGAAGATGGGCAAAAACAGCTGACAACTGCAACGGGCGAAGAAAGTGGTGGCAGCAGCAATATGGCATGAATGTTGTTCCCCACGCCAGCGGCAACTCAACGAACCACAGGCAAGGTGTAGCGTGGACACCCCGTGCACCTCCGGCTGGGAGATGCTCGTGGCAATATCAGGTATCTCCTCCATCGCGCTATCCCTGGTATGCGTGTGCGCATGAGTAGCGTATGCGTGCGTGTGTGCGTGTGTGTGTGTGTGTGTGTTTGAGTGTGAGTAAGGGAAAGGAATCGTTGGTTCGTTGATTCGATGGTTTGTTGATTCGTTAGTTGAGTGTGCTTGTTTCCACGTGGCTGACCCGTTTGGCCGTGCCACCACATAGATTATGATGGCCACGTACAGGCGATGATGATGATGATGATGATGATGACACAGGTGGGAGTCATCAAAAGCACACATGACAGGAAAAAAAGGAAAGACAGGCATGGAAGCGCTCATGCTGGAGCATGCGCCCCAAGCCAACACCAGGCCAACACCAAGCCCAGCAACCAACACAGCTGAAATGGTGTGTAGGATCGGGTGTGCCGGTTCATCACATCCACAAATCAACAACGGTACAGCCACAACACAGCCCTAGCCACACAACAGCATGCGAGGAGTTGCTTACAAAGGCGGTGCATCCATGTGCATTGTCGTAAACGTGGATTGTGGCGCTGTTGGGATGTGCAGGTCGTGGGCTGATGTCTCCGTTGGCAGCACCTTGTGCGCCAGCACATCCTCACCCTCCGCCATCACAAGTCGTGTTTGCTGGCTGGTGTTGTGTTGCTGGGTTGTTGTTGGGCTGTTTGTTTGTGTGCCGAAATTCGCCGGTTGCATTGATGGCGATTCGCCATATTTTCCCGTGATCCTCCGTGAAACGCCTGCAGGCAAACAAACCAGCCAGCCAGCAACAAGCAACGTTCACCACCACCATTTCAACCAACGCACTCTTGCTTGGCTGGCTTGCTTGCTTGGCTGGCTTCACTTGCTCGCTTGCTGTCCACAGGTCCACCCTTCCACCACTGCCCTCGAGCGAGTCCACCAGACCTCAGTGCAACCCTCGCTGCACCCACGACTTGCCCGTCCCTGTGAGCCTCAGAGCCTCCCTCCTCCCGCCCCTCGTTTACATTGCTTGCATTTATTGCATTGTCACTACGTCAGCGGCGTGTGACGATGCAGGATGGTGCTGCGATGGCGACGGGGACTGCTGACGTTGATGCTGGCGTTGTGTGTGCTGATTGCGGTGGCATCTGTGGCCATGTTGGGGTTGAGCGCCTTCCACCGCGCAAACTTGCGTGCTGAAGCCGCAAGCATGCATGCAGAACGGGTGCTGCGGTCGGTGCGCTCGGCCGTCCATCGCAGAGGACACCGTCGCCACCAACCACAACCCACGACACCGGGGGTTGGAGACCACGTGCGCCTGTACCACGGACAGTGGCAAGGACAGGCATTGTTCGATCGCCTGCTGGCAAGACGGGTGGACACGGACAAGGCGCTGCTGCAGCAGGGCATGTCAACTACTGATGTCGCTGCTGCCGGCGGTGATGGGGTACACGCGAAGAACAGAACAGATCACAACCACGTGCAAGAGAAAGCTGACATACAACAACAACAACAACAACAACAACAACAACAACAACAACAACAACAACAACAACAACAACAACAACAACAACAACAACAACAAGATGAGGGCCCAAGGATTCGCACGGTGGAACAAGGGCAGAAACAACAAGCGGCGCCGCGACAGGAAGATGAGCGAGACACGGCGTTTGTGGTGTTCATCCTGGCTTCAAACAAGGATATTCACTTTGAAGCGCTGGTGGACAGCTTGCTTCGCTGTAACATGGCAAACGGCACGCACATTGTGGTCTCCCATGACGGGCATGACTCCCGGATGGAGCGCACGGCGCGCAGGCTGCGACGCCGCTTCAGGGTATCCCAGATCTTTCACCCATTTGCCTGCCGCACTGCAGAGGAACGGCATGGGTTCCCCAAGTACAGCCAGTTTGGCCGCGTGCGCCAGTACTGGCAGTACACGTGCGCCAAGCACCACTGGTTCTGGGCCATGCACCGCGTCTGGCACTACTTTCGCGGGGCACGCTGGCTGTACTACCTCGAAGAGGATTTCCTCGTCAGCAAGCACATTGGCTCCATCTTGCCTGCGCTCATGAAGGAGGCAGATGCCAGGGACGACGTGTTTGGTGCAATGTCCCAGTGCCGAGACAACCTGTGGACTGTCAGCGGGCTCATGAAACGGGCAGCGTGGGATGCACTCCTGCAACGCGCGCAGTTCTTCTGTACTTTTGACGAGTACAACTGGTGAGAGACGCGCTGTGTGTGGTTGTTGTGCGTGTGTGTGTGTGTGTTTGTTGTGTGTGTGTTGTGTGTGTGTGTGTGTGTGTGTGTTGTGGCTGTTGTCTGCCGCGGTCTGCCTCGGCTGCATGACCTCTGGCGTGCCTGGGACACATTGCCCGCACCTCTGTGGATGTGAATGCATTTTGCACACCCACATGCGCTTACACCTCAGCTCAAGCCGCCATCTCCTTGCATGTTCACACCCGTTCTTGGTTGTCATGCTCCGCTCGCTCTTTGTGCGCTCTTTCTAGGGACCTGACGATGAAGCAGGCATTTGTGCAGCTGGATGGCCCGACGAGATACCTGTGTCCGCTGCGCGAACACGTTTTCCACACTGGCATCTACGGCAAGGGCCTGACGCACGGCTCGGAGATGGAGTCACGCGAGGAGCTGCGTGCCACTGTGGATGGCGCCCGCCTCCGCTTCTATGCAAAGACAGACACATGGACGTCGTTGGCAGGCACAAGGGAGGAGCACCTGCACACACCCCATGCCGGGCTGCGCGGGTTTGGCGTTGAAGACGCAACACACTGTTTATATGTTCACCAGTGGTTCCAAGACCGCGCCACTAAACGTACTGCCTGACACACTTTAATATATGACGACTGTCGTTTCACCGTATGGCTCTGCTCGCTTGGTTGCTTGCTTGCTTACTTACTTGGTTGATTGGTTGATTGGTTGATTGGTTGATTGGTTGTTGACTTTCTTTCTTTCTTTCTTGACTTGTGGCTTGAGTTCTTGGCTCGTGGTGTTGCAAGACGTGTTGGCTAACGGCACATTTCATTTATGACATGACATGCTGTTCACGTTCTCACGTTTGTTGTTGTTTTTGCGGGCGCACTGCGTTCTGTGCTTTTTTGTTGGTTTGCTGTATTACATGTCATCATCCTTGCGGGCTTCTCCGTTTATGTACCGAATAGCCATCCCCATCACGCTACCCATCAATGCGTGCAGTGCCTGCACATGTGCCCTATCTCTGCTTCAGCGTGCCTCGACAACTTACTTATGTTCACGTTCGCATTTGCTTGACTGTTGCGAACAGTTCTTTTGCTTGATTGATTGTGTATGTCGACTTGTCAATATAGAAGTGTACACAGGTGCACTTGAGTTCGAAATAAAGGGATGCACAACGTCGTGAAGGGTGTTCGTCAACAAGACGGAATGAAGCTCAGAATACAGATGAAGGCTGAAGAACGTATGGAGAGAGGAGAGGGAGAGAGTGTGTGTGTGTGTGTGTGTGTGTGTGTGCAGCCTGTCGGCAACAACAGAACAACGAAGCTGACTACTGAAGCATTATCATAACGTGGGTGAACGGCATCACTTGAAGACGAGAGAGATGCCAAAGAAGATGTTGAGGCAAAGGGCGAGCATCAACGCAACCTGCAGCTGCTGGCACGTGGCGCGCAGCATCAGCACCTCCCCCGTTGCCTTGCCTGCACGCATACAGTGACAAGGAAGAACACGGGTGACAGGGTTGCGTGTGAGTTGGTTGGCAGAGTGCTGGGCAACCCACCATGCAAGCGCAGATAGCAAGGGGGCAGCAACAGCGTCCCACTGCAACCAAGCAGTCACATCATTTGTACATTGACCCGCGTTGATTCACACACACAACACACACACACACACATATACACGTAGACATACACACACGCGCACACACATACACAATCACACGCAAACACGCACACACACACACATGCGCTCACCCTGCACGCGGCGTCGGCGAATGGGCGCGACCAGCGGGTTGGTGTGGGTGCGCAGCTGCGTGATGACATCGGGACCAGAGCGGCCCGTGTTCACAATCTCGTTGAGCAGCGAGTGGCACTGCTCCTGCTGCTGCTGTGTCTTGCCCACAAACTCCTGGTCGTCATCGGGCAGGTCCGTGAAGGAGCGCGCCTGCTGGATCAGCTCTGAAATGATGCCCAGCAGCGTTTGGCCTGTCTCCACCACCTCGCGGTCCCGGCGCACGTCAATCTGCGACGGCAGGTTGTCGGCGAATGTGCTGGTTTGCTCGCGCGCCAGCCCGGACTCGGCCTCGTACCGGTCCACACCTTCGAGGTCCTCGAGGTCCACAAAGGTGAACGTGCACGGCAGCGGCGTGGCGGTGGTGCTGCCAAGGAACATGCCGCTGCGGGAGGGGTCTTGTCGCAAGGCAGCAAAGACGGCGGCTGCCACGTTGTCTGGCAATGCCTGCACGCAATCCGCCTGGTACGTGACGGCGACGGCAGTGCCAACAGACTCGCTTTCCGTTTCGCGCAGCTGGACATGGGCGACAGGCGTGGACGTGCCGGCAGGCTGGATGCACACGCGCAGGCTGGAGGTGGTGGCGGAGGCAGCAAGGCTGGTGGTGAGGTGGCCCATCGCGTCCGTGATGCTGTTGGTGAGCTCGTCCGTCGTCTCACCAGCAGCGCACTGGAAGAAGCGGTTGCTGTTGGGCACAACCTGTGGAGGGGGGAGGTGCGAATGAGAGAGTGAGAGAAGAGATTGGAAGGTGAAGGGATGGTAGTGGCAGGAAAGCCGGCAGGTGTTGTTTGCGGCGGAGTGTAAGGATACGCTTGCACGTACGAAGGGGTGGAAGAAGGGTGTGTCATAACACAGAAGCAACAGAAGAAAAGAAGTAATAAACGTACAGATGCTGGCCGGTGCAGGCACAGGCGTGCGCAAGGGAGGCAAGTCGGACAAGTCGATCAAGCCGGGCAGGCGGGTCTGTGCGCAACACACAGATGCACACGCACAGATGCACACACGCACATGAACACACGCACAGATGCACACACGCACATGAACACACGCACATGAACACACATCTACTCACCTTTGAGAGGCGGTCAAGAAACTCGCCCTGGTGGTCGCCGCCAACGCCGAGAGCAAGCACGTTGACCTCGTTGGAGTGGACAGACAGGGCGGTAAACTCCTCGATGAGACGCTGCAGGTGCGCGAACTTGTCCTCGCTGGGCATCGACGCTTGGCCGTCCGTCATCACGACGAGGAATACGCGATGCTGCCGGTCTTGCTGGGCGCGGGCAACACCCAGGAGCATGTTCATCTCCGCAACGAGACGATCCACAACGATGTCAAAGTCCGTTCCACCCGTGGATTCAAGGTTCTGGATGGTGCTGGCAACAGCAGCAGCGCCTTGGTTGTAGGGGAGGTGGTGCTCGTCAATAACTTCATTGAAGTTGCAGAGATTGGGGTGAACACCGTGTTGCATGCAGGCAGTGATGGCGTTTGCCAGCCCGGTGTTGACACTCTGCATGTGGTAGCACATGGAGCCGGAGTTGTCTGCGACGAAGAGCACGTGCATCCTGGCCTGGCGGCGCTCGGGGTGGTAATCCTCCATGCGCTGGCAGGTGACGGTGGGCTGGAACATGATGCGGTCGCCCTCCATGGCAACCATGTTGCACGTCGCCGTGTAGTAGGTGTCTGAACCAGACATTTTGTCTTGCTGTCTTCTTGTCTTGTTGGTCCTGTTGGCTTGTTGTCGTGTTGGTCTTGTTGGCTTGTTGTCGTGTTGGTCTTGTTGTCGTGTTGGTCTTGTTGTCGTAGGCTTTGCCTGTGACGCTGCTCCGCGCAATGCTCACAGGAAGGAAGGAAGGGGAGGCTGTCCTGACAAGCTGACAAGTGGGCTTGAGAACCAGTCCTCAGATGGTGTCCAGTTGAGAGTCGGTGTCTTTTCGGGTGTGCTTGGTGCGTTAAACTGCTGATTCGCTGTTGTTGGGGTTGGGGCGGCTGGCACTAGGGCACTTGGCGGCAGTCCTCAAGGAGTCACTTGGCAGTGGCCTGAGAGAGAGAAGGGGGTGGGGGGAGTGCGTGTTTTGCCTTCTTTGTCCTTGTTTGGCCTTGCTTGCTTGCTTGTCTTTGTCCTTGCTGCTTGCTTCTTGCGTCTCTGAGTCTCTGCGTCTTGTCTGCTCGGGGCCCTTGGACTTGTTGGAATCGACGACTGGAGGAAAATGAACTTGTCGAACAACTTCATCTCACATTAGTTCCTCAGTGCCAGTGGCACCAAAGAGAGAGGGGGGGGGGCTTGCCTGCTTGGCGAAGGAAGGAAGGTAATTGTGTGTCACTGAACAATTGGGTGTGTCATGTCATGTCTCCCATTGCAAACAAAGAGAGAAAAGACTCAGCAGTGTTTCTGTGCGCTGTTGTGAAATTCACGCACATCCTGCACTGTGTTCGCGGACACAACCAACCATTGCTCGCCATGCCACGTGTTAGTGTGCTTGTTGCTGGTGGATCAACACGAGCAACGAGGCAACCACCACCACAGGTCTGTGTGAGTCACATCACATGTCACCATGACACGAATCGACACAGGCGGACGGTCCTCCTCTCTTCCACTGGTCGTGGTCGTGTAGTGTGCAATCCACTTCAACGGTGTCGTTGTGATGTAATTCCTTGCTTCATTTCAACGTGGTTCACAGCAAATGAACACACACACACACACACACACACACACACACACACACACACACACACACACACACACACACACACACACACACACACACACACACGAATACCGACACAACAATCCATGTAACCAACAACTTCTAACGAGGAAGGAGCAACAGCGAGGCGCACGTGCTCCACGCTGCTGGTGGTGGTAAACGGTGGTGGTGTCTTCTGCTTCTATTTCTCATTCGAACGGCGGGAGGTGGCAGAACGGTCCCCAGAACCCGTGGTACCGCGTCTCCATCACGTGTGCCGGGTCTTCGCAGTCGCCCTCGCTGTCCTCACTGCGAAAAATGGCAGTGGTGGTGAGAAGAACGAAGTAGCAAGGTGAGGAGGAATTGTGTGTGGGGGGGGGGGGCAACAGAGAGAAATGCAGTGGTGGCGGCGAGACAATTGTTTGTTGTTTTGGAGGAGAAGGGGGGGGGCAAGCGATGAGCTCACGCACATGTTCACCGTGCCCCTGGAACACACGCACACACACACACACACACGCACACACACGCACACACACGCACACACACGCACACACACACACACATACACACGTGCACGCACGCACACACGTGCACGCACGCACACACAGCGCACCCTGTTTGGTATGCGGTGGACGCAAGCTTGGACAGCCGATCCTTCAGCTTCCAGAACAGGTCCAGGTTATCAAACTTGATGTCGTGGTGCTCTGACGAGGGAAAAAAAAGGAAGGGGGGGGGTGATTGCGTGAGTGAACGTGGATGAGAAGAAATTGACTGAGTTGGAGAGAGAAACATTCACACAGCACACACACACACGTACACACACGTACACACACACACGTACACACACACGTACACACACACACGTACACACACACGTACACACACACGTACACACACACGTACACACGTACACACACACGTACACACACACGTACACACACACACGTACACACACACACACACACCACACACACAAGTACACACACACGTAAACACACACAACATCTAAATGGAGCAACGAACATGCATGGCAGACAACAACTAGAACAGCACCTGTTGGGTCTTCCTTGATGTTGAAGAGGCAGCCGTACGGACATCCGTACGCGCTCCCCGGTTGGTTGGCGGTGCCGTTCGGGTACAGCGGACCTGACATGGGCACGGGTGGAGACGGGAAGAAAGGGAGAGAAGGAGAGAGACAGCAGGGGGGGGCATAATGAGAAGTGCGATGGGATAAGTTGGCCAAGAGGAGTTGTTGGAACACACACACACACACACACACACACACACACACACACACACACACACACACAATAACGCAGTTCCCATCGCTTCGAAATCACAGCTCGGCAATCAGCAGAGCCGGAACACCATATGGCCAAAGTGCAACGTAGCAGCACACGGCATGGGCACTCCAGAGACATTGCAATGCCACCAAGCCACCATGGTAACAACAACACATGCCACTTGAATGCAGCAACTGCAATTCGCACCTGTCCAGAAGCCAATGCCACGCTGGCCGCCAACAACAATCTTGTAATCGCCGACAATCAATCCGCCATCGCCCACATTCTCTCCACTCAGCGAGGACGCGAGCGGAAC